ATCATTTAAAAAAAAAAAAAAAAGGAAGGAAAAAAGTAATACATAAAAAAAAAAAAAAAACAACATACAAATCAGCTTATATTGAAACTCAAAGTGTGGTTTTCATATAAAATTATTGAACACCAAGAGTTATTGAAATTCAAGGTGTATTTTTCCATATAAAATACTGAACACCAAGAATTATTGAAATTCAAGGTGCATTTTTCCATATAAATTATTGAACACCAAGAGTTGTTGAAATTCAAGGTGTATTTTTCCATATAAAATATTGAACACCAAGAGTTATTGAAATTCAAGGTGTATTTTTCCATATAAAATATTGAACACCAAGAATTATTGAAATTCAAGGTGTATTTTTCCATATAAATTATTGAACACCAAGAGTTATTGAAATTCAAGGTGTATTTTTTCCTTATAAATTATTGAGCACCAAGAGTTATTGAAATTCAAGGTGTATTTTTTCCTTATAAACTATTGAGCACCAAGAGTTATTGAAATTCAAGGTGTATTTTTTCCTTATAAACTATTGAGCACCAAGAGTTATTGAAATTCAAGGTGTATTTTTTCCTTATAAATTATTGAGCTCCAAGAGTTATTGAAATTCAAGGTGTATTTTTTCCTTATAAACTATAGAACACCAAGAGTTATTGAAATTCAAGGTGTATTTTTTCCTTATAAATTATTGAGCTCCAAGAGTTATTGAAATTCAAGGTGTATTTTTTCCTTATAAACTATAGAACACCAAGAGTTATTGAAATTCAAGGTGTATTTTCCATATAAATTATTGAGCACCAAGAGTTATTGAAACTCAAGGTGTATAATTCCATATAAAATAATTGAACACTAAGAGTTACTGAAACACAAAGTGTATTTTTCTAAAAATATTTTAATAACATTAAAGGTAACTGAAATTAAGTATTAATTCAGTCTGGTATATTAAATATGAATTTAAGACACAGACAATTACCACTTCCAATGTTTTTAAATAATAGAGGGGGAGGGTCCCCAAGAGCTCCCTTATATAGTGTTAATTCCAATTTTTCGGACTTAACAAGAGAAAATGAGACACAATTTGTTTCAAATAGTGGGTTACCCTTTAGACAGAGTTAGTATTGATGTAATTGGACCTTTACCACAAACACAGAGGAGAAATAAATATTTATTGGTAATAGGAGATAATTTCACCCGTTGGATGGAAGTTTATCCTTTGCCACATCAAAAGGCTGATATTGTGGCACATAAGTTTGTAATGGAATTTATAACGAGATTTGGAATACCACTAGAACTGCACAGTGACCAAGGCAGCAATTTCCAGAGTGAATTGTTTAACGCTGTCTGTAGCATATTAGAAATAACAAAGACCCGGACAACACCTTACCATCCTGCCTCAAATGGGCTTATTGAGAGGTTTAATCGTACCCTGGCAGGAATGATAAAAAGTTTCATCAACAAGAATGCTACAGACTGGGATGTAAACATCAATCTACTACTGGCAGCTTATCGTAGTACACCACATCCTGCTACAGGCTTCTCACCTAATTTTTTAATGCTAGGTCGAGAAATAAGTATTCCAATAAAATTGATATATCCACTGCCAGACCAGAAATATGAAGGGCAAAATGAGTATGCTCTAGATCTTCAAGATAGATTACAAGATATGTATCATATTGCCAGGAAACATCTCAAGACCAATGCAGAACGACTTAAAAAGAATCATGACACTAGACTGACAAAACATATATATAAAAAGGGAGATCTTGTATATAAATTTGACAAAACTATAAAACAAAAATTTAAATCCCCATGGCTTGGTCCCTATTTTATTTCAAAAGTTTTGAGCACAGTGGTCTATGAAATCTGTTTTAAATCTAGAAATGAAGTTGTTCATATAGATAAATTAAAACCGTATGTAGGTGAAATACCAGACTGGGTTAATAGAAAACTCAATCAATTAGAATAAATGTTATGTTAAGAGTAAACATACACATTTTATACATGTATTTATTTATTCCTGTATAAAAATAATATTTTAGACTTGTTAATTTTATAAAGTATTAAGTATTGATTAATTTTATTCTTACAGAATTATGGTACTGTTTCAATGTTCGAAGTGTCCTTTTCGAGGAAATACGAAAAACACAATTCAACATTTTATAATTAAACATGCTTCGGTTGACCGAGTCCCATTTGTATGCAAAACCTGTAACTTTAAAACAATTTCCCATGCTAAATGGCAAAGACATTTAAAGGATCTTAAAAAACCTCATGTTAACAAAGAACATATTTGTATGAAAAGTATTAATCCTTATGTGGTGATTGAGGGTGAAGACATTACAGAAATTGAATCAACATGTATAAATGACAAAATATTTATACAAGAAGAAGAGGAGATTGAAATTGTGGAAGTAAATATTGACCCCAAAGATGAACAAATTTTGGAATTAGAGAATAAATTGGTAGAAATGAAATCAACACATGAAAATCAACTTAAAGACTTAGAAGAAAAGCATACATTTGAGTGCCTTCGATTTGGGAATTTTATAGAGAGACTGGAAAAGAGGAAGACAGATCTTAAAGAAGAAGTGAGAAAACTCCAAAATAGATTAACCGAGACTCAACCCAAATCCTCTAAGAAGATCAGAAGTTCTGTTTGTGTCATTGAATCAAGAAAATAGAAAGAACTTTTTAATTATATTGAACTTTTTAAAATGAATGAGACTTATTGTGATATATACATGTATATTGTTTTACTGTTATATATGTATGCTTCTTATGTTGAAATTTGAATATATATTCATTTTATTTCATGTCAATTCTAGGGACAGAATTCTTTTTTTCTTTGAGAGGAGCAGTGTTGTGCCACGATTATTTACAGTATTCTTTTAATAATAACCTTCATTCATTGCTTTTCATTTGTATTTCCCGGTGTATATTTTCCGCGAAACTAGGTCATACATATTTTCACTTTTGTACACTTGCTTGTTATGCGGAATGATTTTCTATAGTTACAACATAATTACCTTATTCAGAAGTTATTAATGCATCCTATTTTATCCATAGTTATCCTTTTATAATGTTAGAATTATCCAAAATCATACTTGTCAAGTTAAAGGCCATTTTGGTTTACTTTCACAATTGTGTACACGCGTACTATTTTTAGGTGTATTGATTAACTGGATCTTTCAACGTTTAGAGAAAAGTATAGTCAGTTTCAAATTATAGCCGCTGGCGAACAGCTGAGTTTCAGACAGTGACCCAGAATTATTTATTCAGGTATTTTGGCACACACTGCAATTCTATTTAATTGATTTATTAATAACTATTGTTAATGATATTAGCTTTTAATAAAGCTGCTTTTATTTATTTAAACAAATCTTATTTCTTGATTATCCAAAGTTTGGACTTCAAAACAGTTTTATTACTTTGACTTTAATTGATATTTGTATAATATCTGCCAAACCATTTACAATAACGGTTGGCGTTTCATAGTTGTATAAGTATATGTATTTTGTTGTAATGCAGCTACCTTTTTCCTGCTCATGTGTAACTAAATTTAACTAGATATGAATCTAGTCTGCATTGAGAAATTAAGACACAATTTGACATTTCAGTTTGCTCTGAAATTAAATTTGCTCTTTTAATAAAAATACAGAAACATAAAAGAACATGTAAAAATATTTCAGAGTAAAAATTCCCAAACCATAAGTACATACTAATGTTTTATGATATTCAATCAGAACAAATTCTACAAATATTATCAAAATGGTTTCTGAATATCAGAGGTTCCTTAGAATGTTCAGAAATCTTCACTTAACTGATCTGAGAACACAGGATTCATCATTTATACAATTCTGCAAAGATTTTATTTAGGATCAAATAGGCTTTAAAATCAAATGCATTCCTAATGCACAGTGAAACCTGTCTAAACCTAACACCCTCTGGACTTGAAAGTTTTGTTTGGTTTTCACAGGTGTTCTGATTGTAGAGGTAAATGGAAGCTGATAGTTCAAAATAATTTCAACACTGACTGACAACAGATACTAAGTGACACAACAGATGATTTGACAGGTATTTCTATACCGGTTCTACTCAATTATGACATTTATGACCATCTAAAAGAAAAGAAACAAATCTTAAAAAATATTCTTTTCTTAGTAAAAATTCTTTTGAAAAAGAGAATTTCAATGCTGGTCAAAAGAGCTATCATTTATAGAGTTTTTTATCCAGCTAGTACACAGCTATCTACTCTTCAACTACAAACAAGTTAATTGATAAAAAAAATATTTTAGTGTACATCAGAGGTTCCTTAGAAGTTCAAACTTCTTCACTGAAAATCAGCGAACAAAATTCATCATATATACACTGTTGTAGAGTTAATCCTTTTATATTGTATTCAATATTATTAACTTTGTGTTTACATAAAGTATTTTGGTTTTGCACATCAGATTTACATGTTTTTAATGCTAGAATATTTCTAAATCTACTTAAATAAAAAATATTGATCATTCCTCATTACATGCATTAAACTGTATATGTGAGTTAATCAGTTATTTGTTGCTTCTCATCACAAGTATTAGTTTCATTCAATTATCACGCCATCTTGAAATTATTACTTATGAAATATCAGTTCTAATTGGTTGCCTTATGATGTGGCTAAGGTTCAATTAGCTAAAATGATATACAGCATTGGGAACTTGTCCTGGACAGGAGATATTATTTTCGAAAAAATAAGGAATAAAATTACAGTATTGGTATTCAAGTCTGATTTATAACAATTATTGCTTCATGTAGATGTAATTTATGACAATGCACATATGTGTTGCCAACAGATAATAGATTAGCATACACATGTGTAACCAATAGATAATAGATTAGCATACACATGTGTAACCAATAGATAATAGATTAGCATCGCATGTGTTGCCAACAGATAATAGATTTGCATACACATGTGTAACCAATAGATTACCATACATATGTGTTTTCCAATTGATAATTACCCTTCTTTCTTGTTTGACAGCTTGTTTCCTGGATCGTTTTTCTTCTATTGATTCATCTTTAGGTCTATATGTACTTGCACAATCAGCTTTTTGATTCTCATGAATTTCTTTTTCAAGTTGTTTTCTTGTCATTCCTGGCTTGTCAAATGAATCTTTAGGAATCTGTAATTTTGATGTTAATTGTATCTTCTTTTTCTGAAATAAAAATTAGATAAACTTCTCTTTTTAATTTTTTTTCAATCACTCAAGAACGTCCAAAGTGACACCACCCAAAATCGTTCTTGATATGTGTTTAGTGGTAATAAGCATTGTGTGCAAGTGTTATAACATTTGGTTGAGGCAAACTAAAGTTAGAGTGTGGAAAAGGCAAATTTAGGAATTTTTCAATTTATAAATGGATATAGTTCAAGAGTGGTAAAGTGACGCTACCCAAAATCAAACTTGATCTGATAATAAGCATCGTGTATTAGTTTCATAACATTTGAATGGGGCAAACTAAAGTAAAAGAATGGAAACTAATTTTGGGACGTAGGGACGTACAAGGGTAAAACTTAATCCCTCATCAGCTACAGCAGGGGGCATAAAAACTTGTTCACAATATCAATAAAGGAAAATTAAAAAAACCACACAATATTTTGTGTGGTCAAACCTTCATTATACTTACTGTGTGTGGCTCTGTAATTAACTTTGGATGATTGTATAAATTTGAATATGTACCTGAAAGTGAAAAACATTCGTTACAGAGCATTACAATATATTATCAAAATATATTTGTATAAATATTTTAAATAATCCTTCAAACATTTAAATCTGTAAATTTCAATAGTACGCAAATCAGACTTAATCTACAATGATACTATGGGATACTAAAGTAATATTTGCAGATCTTTGACAGTTTATGTTTAATCTATTAAAAAAAAGAACTTCATTGTAAGAACATTCTGAACACACGAGACACCTAAGTTTTTCTTAATAACACATCAATATTGAAGTTAAACCAATTTCTTTTAATTTCTTTGGTTTTCTTAAGAACAAATACAGGTGTGAGCAACCTAATTAATTCCAAATCATAGTTATACAAATTCTTTTCTAAAACCTACTTAAAATAGATTCACAATCCCATTTTTCTTTAGGTGCTTGGATGATCATTTCTACAATATCACAGTCGTCTCCTGATTCTACATCAACATCATTATTACAATTCTCAATCTCTGTAAATTTTCTGTAAAAAAAAATACTGTGGATTAACTTAATGTCATAGTTAACAGTGTCAATATTAAAATGTGATATCCTGTATTTTTGTTGTAGAGAGGTTTGCAGATATCTACTTACATTCAAAGTATTAGTGTTTCAATGAGAATTTAAGTTTGTACATTCCATCTACTATTGTAATTCAATAAAATAAGCTGAACCCACAGGTAACATTATCCAAGAAAATCAGCTCCCTACATAAAGTGAACACACAGGCTATGTTATCCAAGAACTAGATCAATGAATATTATCACAGTAAAATTGACTTAGTCCACATAATCATATAAAATTCATATCAAAATTTAAATCATATATTTATAAAATATTCTTTTAAAAAAATCTACTAAAGAACATTTTTTCTTGAATTTTGAAATTTGTTTTGTTTTGATTCCAAATTTATGGTGAGGTTGTTGTAAAATTTTGAAATTTGCTATGTGTTGGGTATAAACTAATCAAATTATTTTTTGTGGATGAATCATTTTTCCAATAACAAATATACAATGCATCAATTGTTAGAAATAAAGATAGGTTCATATGATTGTTTATAAGATGCATGCATTTGAAAAACCACCAATTTACAGTTGGAAAAGGATATCTCTGGATTTTCAAATGAGATGTTTTGAGAAGAAAAGAATGTTGGATTGTTAAAAATGCAGTAGAAATTACAAGGCTGTTACAAATATTTTATCAAATTGTAATTCCCAAATTTTTACTTTTGAATACAAGATATTGATTATTAATACAATACTTATTGATCTTATCTTTAAGGCATTGCCTAAGAAGAATCCTAAGTCGGTATAAAGATTCAGGGAAAAGTTAAATGTGCATTGTGAACATTCTTAAGTCACATGACCACTGGTGGCATTGTGAACATTCTTAAGTCACATGACCACCGGTGTGCATTGTGAACATTTTTAAGTCACATGACCACTGGTGTGCATTGTAAACATTCTTGAGTCACATGACTTCCTTTATGACCACTTCACTGACTTAATCATTGTAATTATTACTTTCTGAACTCTTTAACAGATAGTTTGAAATAAATTCTAACATGTAAAAAGAAGGTCAAAAGAAGGAATACATGACTTGTTACAGAGATTATGATTTGCATGATTCTATGTTTCTAAAAGTTAAAAGTGTTATTGAATGAATTACTTTTCCTCCTGTTCTTTTTCAAACTCTTCTAGGATGGAGTCTAATACTTTACTGTCTTTACAGCCATCAATGTCTTCATGATCTAAAGCACCAATCTCTGTATCCTCATACTGCTCATATAACTAAAATAATAAATAATAGTTCATGATCTAAAGCCCCCATCTCTGTATCCTCATACTGCTCATATAACTAAAATAATAAATAATAGTTCATGATCTAAAGCCCCCATCTCTGTATCCTCATACTGCTCATGTAACTAAAGTAATAAATAATAGTTCATGATCTAAAGCCCCATCTCTGTATCTTCATACTGCTCATTTAACTAAAATAACAAATACTAGTTCATAGCAACAATCTCAAATTCAATTTCCATGATATAATCTTTTAAAGGTCTTTGATAAACACTGACAATGGTTTTTGAATCATGAGAATATTTCATAAACCGAGCAGCTGACCTAGAAAAGTATTGACAGAGAAAATTTATTAGAAAATTTCCAAGAAAGGTCCAACGATTCTATTAAAAGGTTTTCCCCTTAATTTCAATATGAAAACTTTATTGTTTTCACAATCAAAAATTGAGAACATATCACAAGCTAGATTTTTTTTTATATCAAAGATACTCATATTAAATGGGAAATAATTCAAATATGCTAATCAATTAAAACTGAAAGCTTCATGAAATAGTAATTCCTCAGTAGCTTACTTTTCCACCAAAAGTTTAAATACAGAAGTAGTATACTTGCCTTTTCAAATCGATCATCCAGAAGGGTAAGGCCTTCATTTCTTCTCATGACAGAGGAGGATATAGAATAATTAGTAAATTGTGTCTTTGTTTCTTCATCCATAAACATGTGTCCATCTTCGTTATCTGAGAAATCATCTGAACCAAAATTAGATCCAAACTCTTCATCTTCTCCAGAGTCCTGGCTGTAACATAAATAAACTGTTAACACAGAGATATGTCTTGCCTATTTGTTATTTTGATAATGCAAATGTTGAAATTAAAATAGCAATACTCTAACATGGAAATGAGATGTGCCAATGCTAATACAACTGCATACCAAATACTATTGACTTTCCATAAGTCGTTCCCTTTCAACAAACCTAAACACAAACATTAACTTGTAAACTATGTAAAAGTTTCAAAGTCAATGAACCATAATTGAGGGTGGGGTTATATAACTCCATGGAAATGAATCTTGCAAATGCCAATACATTTGCATACCGAATATCATTGACTTAACATTAGTGGTTCATCTTAAACAGACCTAATCACAAACTCATACATGTAAACTAACAGGCCTCTACATTATAATTTTTTCTAACTTGTCCCTTCGGACAAGTTGCAAGAAAATTAACTTGTCCGAACTCTTAACTCACTTGTCCGAATTCATAATTGAAAATCTTACATATTGATGATATGCACTAATAACACTTAAGCTTTGATTGTATTTAATAAAGGGAGCATTTTGTTATGTTATATGAATTTGTTTGTAAGTACAATTAAAGAATACCACATCAAAATTCATTTATATATTTCAGACTGAAAGATTATTTGCAAGATTTACTCAATGTCACTATGATGTGTTGATCATTAAACCATTATCACTTCCCAAATCACTAGGTTCTCCTATGGACCTATTCATTCTGTAGTAGTGGTATGGGTTAAACCAAGGATGTAAATACACCTGGCCACCTTGTATATAATTAAACCTTTATAATTTATTGATGATGGCAAAACAAGCTTTTATAATTTTATTTTGATTTTTATATACATTGATAAATGATAATGAAGTACATAAAACATTTCACTGAGAAAATCTGTCTTTTTAGATTTTAGTTAATTTTTACATCTTTTTAAACTTATTATTTTTATACATAGATCTTATCAAATAAAACCTTTTTTTTAATGTATTGTTTTGCATAAAAGCAAAATCAAATGAAACATACTTTAATTTAAAAATTTAAAGTTAAGGTAAAACTCCATATGGAGGTGCTCTTAATTCCAGGAGGCTTATACTAAGAAGAAGCATTACCATTGGTGTCTTTCCCCCTTACTTATATTCCCCTGGTCATCCGCTGCCAGCATGTTCAAATACGTTCAATGAGAGACATATTATATGTCTCTGGTTCAATCAAAGAATATTTCTTTCATTTTGAATGATCAATAAAACAATCATTCAATTTTTTGGTAATGTATAAGTCTTGAATTTGATCTTTTTTACATCTGACATCGATTTTTCCCATCGGACAAGTAGTATGATGAATCTACTTGCCCGACGCCTGTGTCCACTTGTCCCGGACAATCGGACAAACAGTAATGTCGAGCCCTGACTAAGCAAAAGTTTCAAAGTCAATAGACCATGACTGAGGGGTAAGGACCAAATATTCTCCATGCAAATGAGATGTGCTAATACTTATACAACTGCATACCAATTATCATTGACCTACCACTAACAGTTCCCCTTAAACTGACCTAATCACAAATTAATACATGAAAACTAAGCAAAAGTTTCAAAGTCAATAGACCATGAATGAGGGGGCTGGGCCAAATAATCTCAATGGAAATGAGATGTGCCAATGCTAATACAACTGCATATCAAATATCATTGACCTTCCACTAGTGGTTCGCCATAAAACCAATAAAATTCATGATTTGACATTGCATGTTCACATATTGCAGGAAATAACTCTGATCACTTTTATAACATATTACCATTAGTATTAGTTCATTCAATTGTTGGTTTAATTTGCTTGTGATTATAGCATGTATAGCAGTTTTTTACCTTACATTTCATGGTAAACAATTTTGTCCTTATGACAAAACAACAGAGTCATTTGCTTTTGTGTTATGCATCCCTATGTTAAATCATTCTTGGTTCTGTTCCATGAACAGGGTAGGGGTTCAAGGATACCTTAAATAATAATTGGTGCACAGTTGTTTTTTTACAAATTTTATATTGTGGGTGTCTGGGGTTATAAGAAGTACCTCCCTACTCCTTCCGTTACTAAATTATGGAATCATCACACTCCAGTAGCAATAAATTATATCTGTTCTCCTAGTCCACCTACTGTTTGATGCTATGAACTGTTATATTGATAGTTTGTATTGGGCTTGAATAGTGCTGCTCAATGTTCAACAATTAATAACTTATTACTCAAAATCTAAAAAACAGTTTTGTGCAGGTTAATGATAAAATAAAATGTAAGAAAATTATTCTTACTCATTAAACTCTGTTCCATCAACTGGGGCATTAGCTTTCAATATAAAGTCATCTTCTAAAATATTGTCTGGGTCCTTCAAATCAAAGTCATCATCCAATGCCTCAACAATATCTGGATCCCAGTTAGGCTGTGGACCTTAAATACAAGAAGCATATCAATAAGTACATTTACATAGTAGTGATTAGCAAAAAATTCAGGTTTGGGCAATTAAACAAGAAAAGGACAAGATAGTACAGCGATTCATATATTGCCACATAAAGGAGGTATATGGTATCAATCTAATGACAGAAAAATAGATGCAATTAAGATTCTTTCCAAATCCATAGCAAAAAAAAACATCTTCTGAAAGTGTTACTGCATCTTGAAAATTTGAGATGACACTTTTATCAAAACTAATTGCTCTTTTTTGAACAAGAGAAAAGCTAAAAAAATGTATTTATTACTTCTATGTAAATCAGATGTAATCGTCTCATATCTTCAGGGCTAACACCCCTCAGATATCAGAAGCTTACATCTAATACGTACATGTTTCAACAAATTTTATGGCAAATGCCCTGCAAATGCAATAATTTCATAATATTCTTTGAAAAATGTATGCAAAAATGAAAAATAACAGATTATATCAGCTGTTCTGATAATATCACAGTCTGTTGCCAAAGGCAATGTTTTCACAGAAACCCCTGAATTTAAATAAAGATACAATGCCTATACCAAGCCTTTTACAAGTTTCGCAAAATAAAAACACCCTGAGGGTGTATAACTTCAAATTTCTGTTACATCAATAGGTACGACAATCTTTATTTGAACTGTAGGTTTGTTTTTTATCATAAATTGACTTAACCAAATAAACTCATCTGATAATGATTAACCAGTAATTTCTGCCAGCAATCACATTACAAAGGAAGTCTAGAAATAGCTGGGTTTTTTTTCATATAGATTCTACCATGGCATCTAGTGTGATACAATATTTCTTCGATACAGACATTAAATTTTATATTTTAAACGTGAAGCTTGCAAAGCTTTTAAAAGATTTAAAATTTAACTGTCTATAGTGGAGAAATATTATATTGCAAAGGTTTCAGTGGTGGAATCCATTTCTGTAAACATTTTTAGAATACATGTATATGTTGACAAACTTTGTCTTTCTTTTCAATGATCTGCAAAAAAATCTATTCTTTATAGGTGACGTCATCAGACAAGGTCGCCTTTTTTGTTACGTCACCATAGGAAATTCAGAAGAAAGCAAGAAAATTTGACATCATAAAATTTTTTTTACCAATGAAGAACTTAGATTAAACAAACCACACGTTGTTCATAAAAAAAATAATCAACCGGTCAGGAAAAGTATCAATCATTTCATTAAAAACAAAAGTCCACTTTATTCTGTTAAAGTAGTCTAACTAAATTAGGGTATGACTTAATTAATAATAAAACAAGAATGTGTCCATAGTACACGGATGCCCCACTTGCACTATCATTTTCTATGTTCAGTGGACTGCGAAATTGGGGTCAAAACACTAATTTTGCATTAAAATTAGAAAGATCACATCATAGGGAACATGTGTACTAAGTTTCAAGTTGATTGGACTTCAACTCATCAAAAACTACCTTGACCAAAAACTTTAACCTGAAGCGGGACAGACAGACAGACTGACTGACGAACAGACGGACAAACGAATGGACACACAGACCAGAAAACATAATGCCCCTACTACTATCGTAGGTGGGGCATAAAAACACAAGAATGGGAAATGACATTTCTAAAAATAATTAATTACACTGTTATACTGACTGTAAGTTTGGTCGACTAGTATTCAAACTTTATTTAGATGTTCGGTGAAAGATTATAACATTTGAAGACACAATATTTTTTGTAATATGTGATAAAACTAGCTAACAGGTTGTTAAAACTGATGTTGCTTAAGTGCAGTTTTATTCTAAATAGCCATTTATATTTTAAACTCACCTGTTATAGGTACTGCCTTGTTTAATAATCCTACTTCAGTTTCTACTTCTGTTGGGAAAACAGACGATGGCAACTGTATTCTTGCTTTCTGCTGAAACTAAAGACATTGTAATATTTTATAACTATTCACAATGTCTAAATTATTTACTTTACCTTGTCATTCTGAGCTGTATAGATCAAATCAACTGCCATGAACACTAACTAAATTCACTTTTAGAAAAAGGAGGAACAAGAATTTCCTATGTGCTATGTGACTCCCTGTTGAAAATTTTCATTTTAATGTACAATTGCTATCTGAATAACAGGTCTGGTGTCTGACATTGGTGACTGTTATTCTTATTTGCTGTGATTAATACATCAGCATGCAAACTTATCAACAAATCATACTTAAAAATGTTGACTTCTGTCTGAACTTACCTCAGTAGCTTTTGACGCGAGTCTGAATTTATCAACAACAGGTTCAAGTTCATATCCTTCATTTGTATCCTTCAAATGTTGTAGGTAGTCATACTCATCTTCAAAAAAAATACCATACTTGACCTGGTCTTCTATCTGTTTCTCTTTCCTTACCTGGTAATTGTCAAAAAAATCAGTATAAAGCATTTTGTATAAAGAAAATTTCAAAAACTTACATATCCCTTTGTATACATCAAAGTCTTAGATGTAGTACCTCGAGCTCCCATCTCTCAAAAACGAATTCCTAAATTTTAATTTTTCTTACAGTATAAGATTGTTGATAAACCTTCATCTAAGTTTGAAAAGAATCTAAAATAAACTGCTTCGCCGAGCGCAGCTGGATAATGCAGAGGTCCAACCCTGAACAGTTGGGGCAAAAATGGACACGATATTCAAGCTTGATACAGGTCTGAATTTGGATTGTAACTAAATATTTGACGCATTATAGGTTTCTGACACATAATAAATGTAGTTAAAGACTTACTTAGTAAATATGTTTTCAGACTATATACAAAGAATTAGCAAAATAAATTGTGACCCCCAATTTTTCTAAAAAAAAAAATTTGAAGAAATTTTCTTTTTAAATTCTTTTAAAATCTTGAGGAAAAAAAATTGTCCCCTCCAAAAATTTTTTGTTTACCCCCTCCCCCCTTACCTTCCAAAATAAATTACATTTGTAGAAATTTTATATTTGTAAAATGTGGTTCAATTTAAGAGACATCAATACACTTAAAAACAAATTATTGTCTGAAAACTAAAAAAATGCTCGTTTTAGACCCTTTTTGGCTCCTAATTCCTGAATGGTTTGGGCATTTACCCCCAAAATGAATCCCAACCTGCTACTTGTGGTATTGAACCTTGTGGTACAATTTCAGAGCAATCAAAATACTTATACACAAGTTATTGTCCTGCAACTAGAAAAATGCTTGTTTTGGGCCCCTTTTTTGGCCCCTAATTCCTCAACGGTTGGGACCATCACCCTCAAAAACAATCCCAACCTTCCTTTTGTGGTATTGAACCTTTTGCTTAAATTTCATAGAGATCCATACACTGAAACTAAAGTTATTGTCCGGAAACCAAATGTCTTCAGACGACGACGACATGATACCAATATACGACCCCAAAATTTTTTTGCGGTCGTATAATAAATGAGACTACTAACCAAGTGACAAATATAAATGTGTTACATATAATATTTCTCCCAAAAATACTTCAATATCTCTGAAAATTAAATATATCAGAAATATCAATCAGATTTAACCTTGAAGTCCTTCACTCAAAAAATAAAAGTAGATCTTACAAGACAAGACAAGAAGGTTCTACCAAGTCAGCACAAATAACTCCCCAAAAATTACTTCTAATTTCTGATCTTACTGTTAATCAACCTCATCTGAGGCTTTGATAAGACTTAGCTTTCATTTCAAATCGAGGGGAAATAGCATGAAATGTAGGCACTATCAACAAAACGAGAAAGCAATGACAAATGGACAGTTCTATATTTTTTTTACACAAATTTTGTTAAAGATTGAATCTTTAAAACATGTTACAGTATTAACATTAAAGATAAACCTGATATTCACAGCACTTATATATCCCTATCCTCTACTTTCTATAGAGCATACCATACTAAACTGTACAATTAATTATCCCTTTTAATGGAAAGAGTTCAGAGTTTATGCTTTGTTGTAAGGCTTAATAATAAATGCAAATATTTTTAGGCATACCCTCTCTCGTAATTCACTGTACTGGTCAAATATGGTCATAATGTTCTGTAGAAATGGGGAGATGTATGACGAAAATTTTTATGCTTTAATATTCAACGTATTGAAAAAATAAAAGAATCGGCAAACAGGAAGGTGTCTGATCCGTTCAAAAAGTGCACACAAATTACAACTCCTAACTTTCAAGCTAATGACAAATTATGAAATCATTCTGTACAAAAATATCTAAGAAAAGTGACACAAAAATATCTACTGGACAAGGTGATTGCAATATAGTTCCTGCTCTTGATGCTCTAGATGTGAAACCATTGTTAAACACAAAAATCATAGAATATATAGCATACAAGTCTACAGATTTGTGCAACAATACTGATGAAAGATGTATGGTTATAAATCATAATTCTAGACGATCAGCTACCTATTAATTTGCTTGTTGGTTGTTTTTGTAAAAAACACAAACTTTTCTAGTTGGCACTAGAAATAATAAAACTTACTTTATCATTAGTCAACAGGACTCTGGAAGAGGCATCTTCACTTGCTTGCAATGGATCTCTCTGACTTCTGTGGACAAGGTGAAAGGTCACAGAATTTTTCTTATCTATGAATTTCTTCTTTTTATTAGGCTGAAATGAAAAGATGAATGTTCACAAACTATATTGTCTGCTTGTTAGCTATATTGTTAAATATAAGAGAAAATATGTCTTCTTATTTTGGGAAAAAATACATATGTATGATTGATATTGTTTTTAAAAATACAATTAGAATGTCACATTCTTAAGACCATGCACAATCAATAGGTTGTTTTTATGCTAAAGGTCACCTAAGACATGTACTTAAATACTAAGATACATGTCTCAACACACAATAATTAGTTCTTTCCAAATATTTTGATTGATTGATTTATTTAGTAGCCAACATATATGAAATCCAATGCACATAGTTAAACATTAGCATCAAGATGCCAGGTTCTGTGAGGTTAGACTAGAGGACAGTAAATATTACTACTTATTTAGCAGAGTGATTTTTTATGCTTTATAAATTATGTAATTTGTACTTTAGAAATTATTTCATTTATAATAAAAAATCTTTTTATCAAATTCTTATTGGTTCTTAGTTATTGGCGGTTAAGTTGTTTTTTTCCTTTGTGCTCCTTGGGTAGAAATTACTTGGACACTGGTCAGAGAAAGACGTCCATTTTTTTTGTCCAGATTGTATTACTTAGAAACCAATATTTACAGATTATATTATTAGATTCAGCTTCATAGTTTTCTAGACACGACCACTTTACTGACAACGTAAATTTCACATTCTTCTTTATTAACATTTTGACGTGAATTAATAGATTTGGTTAATTTTCTTACTTTTGAGTAAATACTCTTCAGATTGCAAGTTTATAACACTGGAAGAAAAGATTTGAATGAGCTTATTTTGGTAAAGAAGCTAGTTCATATCTTTATCAAGTAATGTAATATTTGCCACTGTTCATAGCGTAATGTTTAGATATAACCAGTATTTTACGAATACTGCATATAGAAAATGTCAGCATGTATAATAAGTCAGAGTATATTGTGAAAAGAATATTCGAGATACATATTTGTGTAATGCTATTTTTATATGGACAAATTGCAAACAATTGTCATGTGTTTAGTATTTTAATTATTTACTTAAAAGTCCGTTCTTATCATTGTATTTTGGTCTTCAGGACTCTGATGTAGATAAAATTGAAAATGGAAATGGGGAATATGTCAAAGAGACAACAACCCGACCAAAGAGCAGAAAACAGCACAAGGCCACCAATGGGTCTTCAACACAGCGAGAAAATCCGCACCCGGAAAATCAAATGTGTACTAGTTTAATGAAAATGGATGTCACACTAAACTCCAAAACATATAAATGAACTAATATTAAAAAACATACAAGACTAACAAAGGCCAGAGGCTCCTGACTTAGGACAGGTGCAATAAAATGCTTCGCTGGGGCGCAGCTTGATACGACCGCAGAGGTCAAACCCTGAACAGTTGGGGCAAGTATGGACACAACATTCAAGCTTGATACAGCTCTGAATTTGGATTGTTATTAAATATTTGACACAGCATAGGTTTCTGACACAGAAAGAATGTGGTCTAAGAACTTGAATTTTTTTAATTTACCTATTATGGTCCAATGTCTAAAATCAAAATACATGGTTAGATTCAGCATATCAAAGAACCCCATATATTCAATTTTTGTTGAAATCAAAAAAAGTTTAATTTTGGACCCCAACTTGGACCAACTTGAAAACTGGGCCCACAATCAAAATTTTAAACACATGTTTAGATTCAGCATATCAAAGAACCCCAAGAATTCAATTTTTGTTAAAATCAAACTAAGTTTAATTTTGGACCCTTTGGACCTCAATGAAGACCAATTTAAAAAACGGGACCCAAATCAAAAATCTAAAAACACGGTTAGATTTGGCATATCAAAGAACCCCAATAATTCAATTTTTGATGAAATCAAACAAAGTTTAATTTTGGACCCTTTTGACCTCAATATGAACCAATTTGATAGCGGGGCCCACAAATAAAAAATCTAAATTCATGGTTAGATTCAGCATATCAAAGAACCCAATATATTCAATTTTTGTTGAAATCAAAAAAAGTTTAATTTTGGACCCCAACTTGGACCAACTTGAAAACTGGGCCCATAATCAAAATTCTAAACACATGTTTAGATTCAGCATATCAAAGAACCCCAAGAATTCAATTTTTGTTAAAATCAAACTAAGTTTAATTTTGGACCCTTTGGACCTCAATGAAGACCAATTTAAAAAACGGGACCCAAATTAAAAATCTAAAAATACGGTTAGATTTGGCATATCAAAGAACCCCAATAATTCAATTTTTGATGAAATCAAACAAAGTTTAATTTTGGACCCTTTTGACCTCAATATGAACCAATTTGATAGCGGGGCCCACAAATAAAAAATCTAAATACATGGTTAGATTCAGCATATCAAAGAACCAAATATATTCAATTTTTGTTGAAATCAAACAAAGTTTAATTTTGGACCCCAATTTGGACCAACTTGAAAACTGGGCCCATAATCAAAAATCTAAATACATGTTTAGATTCAGCATATCAAAGAACCCCATATATTCAATTTTTGTTGAAATCAAACAAAGTTTAAATACTGGACCCTATCTTGGACCAACTTGAAAACTGGGCCCATAATCAAAAATCTAAACACATGTTTAGATTCAGCATATCAAAGAACCCCAAGAATTCAATTTTTGTTAAAATCAAACTAAGTTTAATTTTGGACCCTTTGGACCTTAATGTAGACCAATTCAAAAAACAGGACCCAAAATTAAAAATCTAAATACATGGTTAGATTTGGAATATCAAAGAACCCCAATAATTCAATTTTAGATGAAATCAAACAAAGTTTAATTTTGGACCCTTTTGACCTCAATATGAACCAATTTGATAACGGGGTACACAAATAAAAAATCTAAATACATGGTTAGATTCAGCATATCAAAGAACCCCATATATTCAATTTTTGTTGAAATCAAACAAAGTTTAATTTTGGACCCCAATTTGGACCAACTTGAAAACTGGGCCAAAAATCAAAAATCTAAATACATGTTTAGATTCAGCATATCAAAGAACCTCATATATTCAATTTTTGCTAAAATCAAACAAAGTTTAATTTTGGACCCTTTGGACCTTAATGTAGACCAATTTGAAAACTGGACCCAAAATTAAAAATCTAAATACACTGTTAGATTCGGCATAACAAATAAATAAATGTGATCAAAGATTTTACAAATCTAATGTGCCATACTGTGCAATTAAAGATTACTTCTTGAAATTTTTCAATATTTGATATTTGAAAAAAAAATGATATTTGAAGAATAATTCTTTTTAATTGCTGAAATCTGAAATGAGAAAAAATTGACCCCCCACAATTTCTTTTTATCCCCCCCCCCCTTTTTTTCCCCCCAAAATTTCTTTCCCTCAAGATATGGTCATAACCTCAATTCAAATTTCCAATGGAGTTGGCAACCATAATTACCCATTTAAATTTACCATAGTGCTATCTTAATCTATTTTATAATAGAATTAAAAATATAGTGTCAAATCTTTCATATGGATTTTTTTGTAAAAAAAAATGATGCAACATTTGCAGATATTTTTACTGGTCTTCCTTTATAAATATGCATTTCTTTAAACATAATTTAAAAGCAGTGTAAGGGAAGTAACCAAAACGTTGTATTTGGATTACCTCCCTTACACTGTTTTAAATTATCTTTATTGTTCATTAACCATTACTTTTATACATAATTTAAAAGCAGTGTAAGGGAGATAATTTCAATGATGTATTTGATTTATCTCCCTTACACTGCTTTAAATTATGTTTTGTACTAAAGTATTTGTCCATTAACCAGGACAACCTTGTTTTTCCCCCTTTTTTGCCCCTAATTCCTAAACGGTTTGAGCCATAACCCCCCAAAGCAAATCCTAACCATCCCTTTGTGGTATGGAAACTTGTAGTATAATTTCAGAGAGATCCATACACGGTTCCACAGTTATTGTCTGGAAACTAGAAAATGCTTATTTTTGGCCCCTTTTTGGCCCCTAATTCCTTAACTGTTGGTACCATAACCCCCAAAATCAATCCCAACCTTCCTTTTGTGGTATTTAATCTTATGGTCAAATTTCAAAAAGATCCATTCACTTAAACTAAAGTTAGAGTGCGAAAACCAATGTGTATTCGGACGACGACGCCGGACGACGACGACGACGACGACGCCAACGTCATACCAATATACGACCACAAAATTTTTTTGCGGTCGTATAAAAATGCGGCAGGGTTAAACATGTTTTGTGAGATCTCAACCCTCCCCCTATACCTCTAGCCAATGTAGAATAAACAAACACACAGCAATACGCACAGTAAAACTCAGTTTAAAAGAAGTCAGAGTCTGATGTCAGAATAAGTAACAAAAGAAACTAAGCAAAATGACAAGGATACATAAATTAACAAAGGACTACTAGCAGTTACTGACATGCCAGCTCCAGATCTCAATTAAACTGATTGAACTTGTTTTAACTTTGTGCCTAATTCCTTATTTACTAGAGAACTCGCTCCACAAGTGGTAAGAGCATAATTTCATGAATTTGTAGTTTTTGTACTACTGTAAATTCAGATATTATTGCGATGTTTTTATTATTGCAAAAAAAGCGACAGGGTTATAATCGCAATAATTTAAACTCTCATTTTGAAATTTTTTATATTAATTAAACAGGATTTTTTCAATATTGCAATAATTAAAATCGCATTTTATTCTAAAATGACAAAATCGCAATTATAAATGCACGCAGTAATTTCTGAATTTACAGTATTTAAATTATCGAAATAATTGTTAAAAGTCATGGATTATTTCCTTTGAAGATTTGCTCGTTTTTAGCAAATCAGTTGTACAGAATTTATATGTTGATATTTAAACATAGTGAATATTTATTTTTTGAATGTTGTGAAACAAAAGATGAATTCTGCTTATTATTTATTATCTATTTTATTATGATCAAAGTAATACTAGTAAAGTTTAATTGTAAACTTTCCTGTACTTGCGATAAGTAATTTCAAAGATACATTTAATTCTATTTGGTTGTAAACGCAATGAAACTGATTAGCATTATATTTAAATGTCGGTCACTGAAACCGGTTTATTGCAGTACATGAGACATTTCACTACACAATCGAATGAACATTCCATAGTAAATGTGTATTTAATGTTAATAGTAACACTATGGTATTAGAAATTGTTTAAATCGAAATATAATCGTCTGTGATATATGTGCATAAGATATTCTATGTTATATTGAACTATTATTAAAGTTTATAATTTTGTTATTTCAGAGCTTATATTCTCTGGTAATAAAACCATCCAAAATCTGGAAAGTCTCCTTTGTTATTTATTCCTGAAAAGAGACCCCTTTCACACTTATAACAACTGTTATAAAAAAAACAAATTTCTGAAAATGATAATCGATGCAGATTTAGGGGGTTGGGCTCCCCTTATGGAGCTACAAATATAGTTAATGCATAGGCTTTTTACGTTTGGGGTGCTTCTTTTTCAAATCCTGGATCCACATCTGAATATATATATATAACATATCCTTTGCCAAGAAAAAAGTATAAACTAAACATAGACTTTGACTGATGCAACCTTCCACTAGCATGATCCTTCAATACAGAACTATATCATGTATATGATGGACATTCATCCAGCAAGATAATAATATCATATGCTCCAGAAGGGAGCATAAATGGTAAGTGTTTTGCTGTTTCCAACAGGATAGTTTGGGAGGGCGCTCCACCCTGCCCATTTTAATGATGACCTGCACTTTAAGATGTATTTCGTGCCATGCTCTTTTTCTGTCGTATTCTTTAACACCCTAATGTAATTAATAAACAATACTGTGATCCATCTGTTAACTAAGACTGTTCAGGTTATTTTCTTTTGAACACGACCAAACTTTAATAGTCACAATTTTATCGAAATTTCATAATCAAGGAGTTTCTCCTTATTCATGTTATTTGTGGTAACATCTGATAAAGAAAGACAGCAGGACTAACTTCCCTTTTGACCCCACTTTCATACATGTCTTTGTTTAACCTGTTAACATTCAAGAGGAATTCTTTCTAAAAACTGTGTACTTATTTAATGAGGACTAAACAAAAACAGGTACAAGTGAAATCGGCACCTGGTCAATTCCGCATCTATAGAAAAAGTCAAATTGGCACCTGGTCAAACGGGCATCTAGTCAAATCAGCACCTACTTAAAGTCATTACGGCATTTGGTTATTCAACCAGCACCTAATATTATTTTCATTGTTTTCTTTCCTTTTTAATTGATCTTTTATAATAAAATAATAAACAAAGATGCCATGTCGCAAGTAGCTGTGGAACTGTAGCTCATAGGTCCTTATATTTTTTGACAATTTGCGTTCCAAACAGCTTCGGATTTTTCCCATTTCAAAACGTTCGGAATTGCGGCCCAGGTTCAGGTCGCACTTATTTCCCAAATTTTTATTATTTATCACCAGTGCATAGCTTGTCAATGAATACAGTTCATTTCGTTAGATATTTTTCTATGATATGACGTACCTATTTATGTTTGAATATTCAGTTCCTTGACCATGTTGACACTATTAATCAGGAACATATATATTGACGGGACTTAACACTACCTAATCAGAGCCGATTTTATCATCGGGTCATAGTTAATATAGACATGATATGGAAACTGACATATGTAAAATACTATTGCTATGATGAAATGTTATTTTTGTTAATATAAATGTCATTCAAACTAAGTAATAAGTGATGCCAGTGTGTCGAACTTGTAATCTGTCACTTAAAATTTGTCATAATCGCATTCATTTCACCACAGAAGGGTACAGAATGCAAACGGGGTAATAAAAATACTGGTGCCGATGGCATTCTCAGTAACCGCATTTTCACAAACCATTTTAAACACTTCACATCAAATAAATCACACTTAAATTGGTAATTTTATATGACAAAGTATATCTTCTTTACGATAAAACTACCAATTCATTGTATTTGTTGAATGTTTGGAATTATGTGGTTAATTTATTGAGCAGTTTCGATAGTTTTTCAGTCAGACACTTTCAAAATCCATAAATCTCTTGAAGTCTCGTACAGTTCGGGATTTTATCAATTTTAAACTGAAAAGTCTCAGATTCCTTTCCCGTTAGATATACTGTTCCCAGTATTTATTAATCATTTTCTTTCATATCCGCCTATTTTATTCAACCATTCTGAACCTTATTTTGACGTCATTCAAATCAAGAAAATATAACTCGATAACAACAAAAATATGTGGACACATCGAGTGAAAATATTTAAATTAATTATGGAAAAAACGGTGTCTTCAAATTATTGTTTACTTGCAAATTTTATACATTATTTTAATTTCGGGTGTCGAATTAACCAGGTCCATTTGACTAGGTGCCGAATTGACTATAATGGGTGCCGATTTTACCAGGTGCCGATGTGACTAGAATTCAACAACTATCCAGCGTCAATAAAGTGTTCGCCCTTTTATTTACATATTTTTATGATTTCTACTTGTTTTTTTTTTAAACAAAATGTACTTGATTATTGAATTAGGGGTTACAATTTTTCACAGTTCAAACGTTTGTTACAAACCATTCTTTTGGTTGTGTGATAGGAATATTGTTGTGTTTTACATTTTCTGATCCTCGTGTTTGGAAATCAACGGAAGTACTCTTTGAAACTTCTCTTGAGTTTATAATTAATGTGAAAGTTTCCGAATGGAAATCTAAACCAATTGAAGAATGCGGTACATTTGGCCAATCAAATGTTAAAATACACAACTTAGCTCTCAGAGACCTCTTTTGGCAAATATTTATGTGACTGAATCAGACAAAAAATAGTCCGCTCGTCGGTCTCAATTTTCTATATACTTTCGTACATTTTCTATATTTGACAAAACTTTCATTAAATATTAAACAATATAGTATCATTCTACTGAACAATAAATGAAAAAAATATTTTGGTATAGATTTAGATGAGAAGTTCTACGTCATTGATATCGTATTATCGTAACCACGTGGTCTACAATCGCGCACTGCTCAGTCCAGTCGTTCGTCACTTTACGTCACGACACTGGAGAGAGACTTCCCAGATGCCAGTGCGCTATAGATATCCGTACAATTGCAATGTATGGAAGTCCGCCATACTGGACGGACAACATCAGTCGTTCAGCTGGCTGAAATCCTTTAAATTGGGGGCTTTTTGGCGTCCCAATGCAGTGCAGTCCGCACGAATTAAAGGAGAAGTTGCTGAAGGGCCTTGATGAGGAAAATAATGTAAGAAATTAACGGGGATAATTGAAATATAAAATTGTCCCATGGTGAAGTTGTGCATGGCTCCCATGTTGTGTTCGACCAGCTTGAAACAAACTATTTCCCGATGATTGGCAAAACATGCATGTGTTAATTTTCTTAAGTAAAATATGAAAATTGATTACAGTTAATTTAACGAAATTCTCCAGATGAGATTATTCTTATTTCAAAATTACATATTAAGCAAATTAATTAATTTGATCTATGCATATTGATTATAGTTCACTGATATCTCATCCCTGTTGGGAAATATGATAACTGAAAGTAGTTTATATGTATTGTATAGTAGTTCTATTTCATATTTTAGATTTTATGATTTTTTGCTGAAACTACATTGTATTTTATTTATTGACATACATTTAACCTAACAAAGAAATGTTAGTATGTTACCTGTGCATGGCTTCCACAATTCATCAACCAAGTTTACCTTTGTTTCTGATTGCTGTTATGGTAGATGAGATTTACATCACAAGTAAAACTGTTAAAAAGTGTGTAAATTCATTATATAAAAAATTATTAGATAAGTATGATTGCCACTGAGACAACTCTCCACCAGAGACCCTAAGACTTAGAAGTTAGCAACTATTGGTCACTGTTCAGCCTACAAGGATGAGCAAAACCCACACTGCACATTGAGCTAAAAAAGGCCCTTAAATGACAAAAGATCAACAATTTAAACAAGAAAACTAATGTCCTGATTTATGAACAAAATAAACAAAAACAAATATGATTTAACAGCAACTAACAACAACCAGGGAATTACAAAATTTTGCGGGCACCCAACCTGGTAGCCATACAGTGCAGGAAAAGCAATACACAAGAACAAACTATAAAGAAAATTCAAAAAGGGCTTAACTCATCAGATTGATTTAAAGCAAAGACACAAAGTACAGATCTGAGAGTACTCGCAATTGCTGAAAGCTAGTTCAAAGTCTGTTACAGGTTTTGAAGCTTGTATAGCTTAAAAAAGAGAAGATACAATGTACTAAGGGGGCAATTCAAATTAAGTCCAAAAAATAAGATGTACAACAACAAACGACAACCACTGAATTACAAGATCCTGATTTGGGCACAAACTCATCCTCGCTAGCCAAGGGTTACGATCCGGTTCCCTTACTCTTTTCGCCCTTGGTGGATTAAGTAAGAATATCAGGTCCAAGAGGTATTTTATTTCCATTGGTCGCAGTTGCAACTGGCTGCATCCAATCAAAAAGTGCCTGAAAGATGATCAAGTGTCAATTTGGAAAATATAATTAAACAATTGCCACATGCAAATTGTGCAACAAGTCTTTACAGCCAAAACATAGGATGATATTTAATGACACTTTTAAAAGTTTTTTATCAACTGATTGAAGCTCTTGGGTATGTTCCTCGTGCAAATGTTGGATTGTCCAAGTATTTTTGTGTATCATGCTTCACAAAACCACTGGACACAACCATTTTTACACCTAACTGAAAAGAGTTTTAAGTGCTGCCATTGGTCTTAAATTATGTAGTCGGAGTGGCCGTGACTTCTATCATTTACTAGAATGTGCAAAGCTGTACACACAAATTCAAACTAAATCTGCCAAGGGTGAAGAGTAGAGGGACCGGATGGTAAGTCTTGGCTAGCGAAAATGCCCTAACCTGGGACAGTGGTGAAACAGCACAACATCAGAACAAACTATAAAGGAAAGTTAAAAAAGAAAAACAGCTAGTTTTAATTAGGGACCCGCCTGGTGGCAGGTCGCCCTATAGTGATCAGTCTGTCCGTCGGTAAAAAATTGTGTCCGCTCTATATCTAGAGAACAGTTATAATTTCATACTTTATACTTGACATGTATATTAACCAACACCAGAGGCATGACTTCCAAAACTGTCATATATTCCGGACATTTATAAATTTACCGGACATTGCCCGTCTGGGAAAAGCATGAAACGGTCATCTACTTTTAGTTTTCAAGGCTTCCTTAAGAGACGGTCATTTAAACATAATTAAAAAAAAATTGGAAGTTCAATCTTTTTGACCCGACCTTTTGCCGTAAACAGTCACACAATCTTCGGTCATAAAAGTGACATGATGATTAAGTACATACATTATCATTTTAATCAAGGTTTATTAGTTGTCGGACAGCTGAAATTTACCTGTTCAGGCAACAGGTAAACCTATTTTGTATCGGACATTGATCGGTCTATTCAAAGTTATTTTCTTACATTTAAGCGGTTTGCATCTAATTAATTTAGTCAGAAAGATTAAAATTGTCAGAAATACGTTTATAAATATGATTTGATGAAAAATTTTAAAAGATTTTAAACGAAAAATCGTCAGAACCGCGTTGTTTGAAGTAGTACACGTCTTTTTCGTGACGAGTGCGCAGGTGGGAAATTTGATCATGCATCCTAATTCTTCAAAAATGATAAAATTATCATTGATACCTTTATCTAACGTTCATTTTGAGTATTTTCTTGAAGAAAAAACGTGGAAAGAGCTATTTAAACTCAATCGTGCTTTGTAAACGTACACAGATTTTACGTATCCGTCTCTGGTCCATGTTTTACCATTGTCAAGTCAACATCCGGTATTAGGAAATGTGCTTTTTAAAAACGAAAGTTAAGTTTTTGACAACGTTATTTTGCACAAATAAAGAGTCTAAGACAGATATTAGTACGCTGATGTTGCACACTTCGAATGATGCACTGTCAATTTAACATTTTACGTCAGAACATCGAGTTTATATCAAAGTAAAGTTTAATATCGTTTTTTAATGTCAATCATTGGTTCTATGATGGCCAACTGATTACCATGGTCCATAATTAACTTTTGTTATTAAGTCTTAAGGGATTAAAATCGGGATAAGACATAAAATGTCCAGCTGGCTCAAATATTTTTTGGAAGCCCTGACCAGAGGGTTTGTCATAATGTTTGTACAACTTCCTAGGTCAAAGTTCAAGGTCAGCAGGGCCCACAGAGATGGCTCCCATCTCAATGATGTCTAGTTAGTTTTGCAACACTTCATGTCAAATAAATGCAATATTGCACTTAAACGCATATGGCTATATATGTTTTTAAAAACAAACATGAAGATTAAAGCAAAACCCTTTTATTTTCTGAATCCCAATCCAACCCCACCATCTTCAATATACATCTATTTACTACACACCAATCACTTTATAATATTTTTAAGGTTTTTTTTTATTCAGCCTTGCTGGATCTATGTGATCACTCCCGATTTTGATGTGGTGCAGAATTCTAAGTTGAAGACATATCATGAAACTAATGTGTTTTTTTGACTTGCAGAAACTTTGTACACCATTTTAATCATATATTGCCAACTTTTGACATGTTATTTCATAATTTGTCCTTGAATTAAGAAAATATTGGTGGCACAGCTACTTAATTTTATCTATACACTTGCATATAGTTCCTTAGTAAATCAAAATTTATAATAAATTATTATTTATGAATTAATGTGAAAAAGTAATATATCAATTTTAATCAGTTGATAAAAATTATGCAAGTATTTTATCAGTATCTAATTGTGTAATTATAAATTATTGAATACAATTTGGTACAAGATGTGTATTGATATCAAAGTTGATTCCCACACTTCTTATGCCCCTGCCGGAGTGGAGGGGGCATCAAGTTTTACCTTTGTTGGTCTGTACGTCCCAAAATTGGTTTCCGTTCTCTAACTTTAGTTTGCCTCAACCAAATATTATGAAACTTATACACAATGCTTATTGTCACAAAACACAGATCAAGTTTGAATTTGGGTGGTGCCACTTTTACCTTTCTAGAGTTATGCCCCTTTACAAATGGAAATATTTCTGAATTTTTCGTTTCCATTCTTTAACTTAAGTTTGCCTCAACTAAATGTTATGAAACTTACACACAATGCTTATTACCACAAATATGAATTTGGGTAGCATCACTTTTACCATTCTTGAGTTATGTCCCTTTATATCATTATATGCAAGCGGGGGTCATCATTTGTGTCCCATGGACACATTCTCATTTATTTGAAATGCTATCATTCTAATTCTTTCCTCAGGCAAGTAATTAAGATGACTGATACAATACAGTTTGATAGACTATTTTCATTATTTTTCAAACAATTTCCTTTAAAGATGGGAGTATTTATTGGAATCAACTCCACTGTAATGCCAATCTCAATTGACCATGGTTAATATCTCTTGTGTTACATAATTAAATACACACTTTATTACACACCTAACTTGATACACTTAACCTCATTAGTAAACCTATAATTACTTTTGATCTACACTACATAAAATTATTCTGTACATTATGTCTCAAAGATGAATGATTAAATAAGGATTAAAAAGATGCATTTTTATACGACCGCAAAAAAATTTTGGGGTCGTATATTGCTATCATGTCATCGTCTGCGTTGTCATAGTGCGAAGACATTTGGTTTCCGGACAATAACTTACGTTTAAGTGTATGGATCTCTATGAAATTTTACCAAAAGGTTCAATACCACAAAAGAAAGGTTGGGATTGTTTTTGGGGGTGATTGTCCCAACTGTTTAGGAATTAGGGGCCCAAAACAAGCATTTTTCTTGTTTCAGGACAATAACTTGTGTATAAATATATTGATTGCTCTAAAATTGTACCACAAGGTTCAATACCACAAGTCGAAGGTTGGGATTCACTTTGGGTGTAATTGTCCAAACCGTTCAGGAATAAGAGGCCAAAAAGGATTTAAAACAAGCATTTTTCTAGTTTTCAGACAATAACTTGTGTTTAAGTGTATTGAAAAAGAAAATATTCTTCAAATGTTACTTTTTTTTTTTTGGAAAAAGTGGGGGGGGACAATTTTTTATCCTCAAGATTTAAGAAATTAACAAGAAAATTTCTTCAAATATTTATTTTTGGAAAAAGGGGGGGGTATCAATTTTTTTTCTTCAAGATTTAAGAAATTGTCAATTTTCCAAAGAAAAATTGGGGGTCACAATTGCTAA